AGAAGTGGTATTACCATCTACGGGCATTTTCTAGGCAAAGAGCTCTACAGGTAGCCTGCAGAACACAATGTTTCTAAGAAAGAATAAAACTTATGGTAAGAAAGTAGCTCAGCTAACCCCTTTCTATGAAGTAAAGCTTTTTCTAAACGCTTTCTAAACACCTGGTTTTTACCTCTGGCTATTCATGGACCTTTGCTCCTTTGTCTGGAATCTTTGCTGCTTATGTCTCTTTCCTTCATTTTTCTTCAGCTTTTGAATTTCACCCCAATTCTTTGTTCTTCAGTGCACCTATTCTCACTGCTTCCCTTTTCAGACTGCAAAGACACAGGCAAATTGCACTGATGGACATTCTTGCAGCTGTGAAAATGAGTAACAACCTCCTGCAAAAAAAGCTGTGCTAAGATATCAGGGTCATGTCTGATAATGAACTTCCCCAAATCATTGCCAGATTGTGTACAAAATCTTATTTGTCTAACCTTGTCCAATTCCTGTTCTCCTAACTTGTATTTCCTTCTGTTTTCTCTGTCATGTTTTGATTCAAGATTATAAGCTCTTTAGGGGAATCTGCTTGCCTGGAGAACTTCTGCCCTCCGATCTGCAGATGCGTCAGTGGCAATATCCTAAAAGCGATGCAAAGTATACACGTTTCCTAAGAAAGAAATTTGGCTGTAGGGTATTGTTTTCATTTGCCTTAATATCTCTTTGCCTCTATGCTACTATTTATTCAAGGTCATTCTAACATATTTACTTTAAAACCTTTTTATACTACTCAGTGTGCATACGCTAGGCAAACATGCACTTTCTCAGTATAACATAAAAGGCTACAGCGCATTCTTTTACCTACGACTTTGCAATATTTTCAACAAACTATCAAAACTGGGGGCTAGAAGAAATCTTAGGAAATTATCTTGTCCATCCTCCAGCTTCAAAGAATCTCCATTCCAGTCTGTAATTCTCCAATATGCTGACTTTTTCTGTTTTTCCTTTATTTTATTGATCTGCTTTAGAGAATGCAGATATTTCATATAATGTACTTTCTCCTGTCTTATTCTATCCCTTTCACTTTTGTAATTAATTTCACACTTGCTCTTCTATACATTGAGCTTGTTAAGAACACCCTTCATACAATTGTTTTTCCTTCTTTGCAGAGGGAAACATTGCTAGTCCAATGCCAAAATGCAAAACTTCACAAAAAGCAAAAAATATTCTTCTTATTCTAAACACGTTCAGCCATTTACTACTGACTATATCCTAGGATAGCATAAATCACCACATTTTGTGTGGATGTTAACTCTGATTACCCACTGTTGAAATCTACACATCTCTGTATGGCAACAGAAATAGAGAATGTGGTGTGTTTTTTTTTTATTTCTGGAAATGCACTTTTTTGTATGTGTAGAGAACGTTAATGACAGATGCTCAACTATGCCAGTTATGGAACACATGCCCTTTTCTGGAGCATGCCACCTTCCAGTACTAAGGAGACCAGGATTTTATTCTTAGTTCTTTGTAAGAGAACTCAGAGAGCAGTATGTGTTTTAAGGTATTTTACATTTAGGCATATAGCATCCTACTTAGTATCTGATGCAAAAAATGCCCATATTTAGGGCAGGTAGGGATTTGCCTCACAGCTCTACTGAGTCAGAGATTTGTGAAACCTGTGTAACTGGTAGGATTCTGATGACATCAGCTGGGAGGGCTTGTAAAACAGAAGAGAATCATTCCAGTGCCCCATGGAAGTTGTCTGATGTTCAAGAATACCGGTGGATTAAGACAGTGACAAGTTGTGACGGTACTGAATAATTAACAACACAGTTTTTGGAATGAAACCACACGATGCCAGACTGCTTATTCTGATTCACTAAATCATCACAGGACACACTGACCCTGAAGCACAGTCCAGCATCAGTAGTACCAGCTAAAAGAAACATCATTGACTTCAGAGAAGCTACTGTTGGTTTCTGCTGCATTATCCCAGGTCAGACATCACAAAAAAATAATGGATGCTATTTCATATTTACACAAAAGTGTATGGGACTGAAAAGGCTCAATATTCCTTGCTATCTTGTTGATCTGTTATGTTCCGTGTCAGATTGCTCATAGCTCTTATTCTGAGTCATTATGCAACTGGTCTTGCATCAACTTTCCAGTAATAGCCCTGTTTTTGGGCTAATGCATCATCTCATCAAGCAGAAGGGAATACACATCCTCTTTGCATTTGCAGAGGCAGCACTTCTGCTCTGTAGGGTTCAGCTTGCTACCAACTGAGCAGGCATTCAGCTCTGCTGGCTTGTATGTGTATTAACTACTCCTAGGCCCTTTTTTTTCAGGACAGTATATGCTGCTGAGGAGCATATACTCTTCTCTGCCTCAGAAGAGTGCAAGGTCTGTGACTCCACACCAAGTTCGAGCAAGATCTGAAGCAGGAACCTCCTGAACTTCAAGAGACAGGTTCTGGTTCCTCATCACCCTGCCTTGCCTGCCTGCCCTATGTCCCTCAGCCCTAGCTTCTCACCCTAAACAGGCTCTGGCTGGAATATTTAACTGCGCAGTACTTATCAGGAGCAGGGAACAAAAAGCAGGACAGAAGAATAAGCAGTCTAACAAAGGTTATTTTAAATCTGGCAGACAGGACTTTTTGCAGACCAAAACATCAGCTGGTTAGATCATCCTCCTCCAAATCAAAATGAAATAAATGTTCTCACAAGGTGGCTCTGTCTCTTTTCACAGCACTGCAGTGCTGAGTGTTGTTTGATCAGCACAACTAGTCAGACCTTGGCTCTCTGAAGATGAAAGACAAATTAGGAATCTGGCATCTTTGTGAAGGAAGGGGAGCAGGTTTGCAAAACAAACAAACAAATGGAGAGCGCTGAAGTATAGCTCTCAGCAGCCAAACAAGAGTGAAGCCATGTCTGCCTGCAGTCTGCAGCTGCGCCGGCAAAGGGAAGGGGGCCAAGAGGCATCATCGCTCAAACAGCTTCTGGGCTGCCTGCCTGTGCTGCTTTGGGGAGGGAGGAGATGGCAGAAGAGAGATGTATACTGAAGCTTTGAACGCCTTTTTTATATATTCAACAGGAATCAGGCCAGGACCAGACCTCTGTTGAAGCTGTATCGAGCATTGGCAGGAATTTGTGCTGAGGACTGTTTCTGCGTTCAGTTAAATTGTACATTCTGATTGCCAAAGAGGACTGTCCCTGTCCTCCTCTTGCATATTACCCATATGTCACCAGGTCTGATTTTCTCTGGCTTAATGCTTCGTGTCTTAATTTATACCATTCCCTCATGCTCAGATTTATACCATTCCCTCATGGTACATTTTGCTCAGATGTAGGAGGCTTCTAAAACTTACAGGGTAGAAAAAAACCTGACCTACAAAATAATTCAATTATATAATTTGTAATTCTCCTAAGACTTAGCATCCCACTATCTCAAAGCACAATGTAACCATTCCAGAATTGAGCTGTTTTTATTTAAGTTTGTTTTAAGGCTTGTCCAAATTCACCTAAGAAGCCTATAGAAAAGCTAGGAAGAGAAGATAGCTCTTCTGACTCTAGCTTCCGTGCTTTGGCCACAGGATCTTGTGTCCTCTCTGGTTTTAATGAAATCAATCAAAGTGAAGTTTTTAACCCTGATTCAAATGAGAGACTTGGCATCTTGCACCAGTGTAAATAATCAGCTATAATTACAGAGCAGAGCAGGGGAATTCAAACCAAAGGAATACAAAACAGCTCAGTAACATTTTTCACTGTAGAGTGGAAAAGACTGTCATTTCAAATCACATGGAAACATTGCAGACTGAACGCCTGAGCCGGCCAGGCATTATGCTCCTCCTGCAAGGAGCCTGAATGCCTTCAAACGCATTGAAGTTAATGGCAGCTGAGTTCAGAGAAAGCACAGGCTGAAGAGGAGCACATAGAACTAGTATGCTGTGGAAAGGTTTTAAATAAAAGGGAGTGAAACAGCTGTGTAATAGATGTTAGTAATATTTGAGATTATGCTGTCATATATTAGGGTGGGGATACAATGAACTCAAGGTTGGCTTAATTTCTGCATTGTTGGAATTGTTCCTGAGCTGTGTAGTCTGTCTTATCAGATAGAGTCACCCTTTAGGATGCTAAAATACCATGAATAAATAGAGATTATAACTTGCTATTCAACTGAGCCTTCAATCTACTCTCATGTATGCTGTAATAGCAGGCTCAGACTCCAGCAGGAGAGGGTCCCATTCTGTAAAATCATGCAGAGAGAGAGTGAATTTCTGTCTCAAACTGTTTAAAATATAAACAGCCATAAGAAAATTGAGTAGCTTGCCCTACTCATACAGTATATCTAAAAAAACAATATAAATCCTCTGACCTGCAGCTTGGCACCACATCTTATAGCTCATCACTAAAACTTCTTGGACCAACAGACCACTGTCGACACTAAAATGTCTTGCTCATTCACAGCATATGCACACTGAGCTGACAGCACTTTTTCTGTTTAATATGATTCTTGGGCCTCAGTCTACCATCAGTCAGTGGAAGGAGGAACTACTGCTCTACTTCGCATTCTCAAAACATTCCTCTCAAAATTTTTTTCAGTTAATTAAAATATGCAATATACCGCTAACAGAGAAGTCCTGTTTCTTAATATATCTCACGTGCTGCACTAGAGCTAGAGTATTCTTTACCAGTTACATGGTAAGATTTGGTCCTTTTGTATATTCCCTCTCAGGTCGTCAAAGCACTTTAGAAAAGAGAATCTTCTTTGCACTCCTGGAAGACAAATTGTAATGTCTTCTCCTATTTTAGATGCTCAGAAAGGTCAAAAAAACACCTGGATCCTGGCTCTTACTCCCATTTACCATATTTGCTTTTGTAAACAAACAAACAAACCAAAAAACAGACATTGTTCCACAACTGCCCAATTCTCTTGCCTCTGATAATAAGACTATCAGTGACTGTTTATTGTAACAGTGCACTCCATTGTCAGGAAGTTTTTCCATTTATTTCTGGTACCTCTGTGACTCCTCCGGGATGGACCTGGGCAGTGTCGCTTTATGAACTGCTCTCAGCACGTAGGTTTGAGCCTCTTCACACATTCCGGCGATGTCGCTTTTACGGCCTGAGAGGTCTCCTGCATAATAAAGAAAGAGGAATGGAAATGAGCACACAAGAATAAAAATATAGACTGCTTGCTTAACTGACTATTGTCTCGAAGTGAGAAAGGCTGGTGTAAAGTGGCATTAAGGCAGGTACAAGTCCTTTTAGTGAATAATCCCAGTACAAAGCTTTCAGTTCACCTTCAGTTCAGATAAGATACAGGGATGAGCAGGAACAGGCTAGAAGAAAACAAATAATATGTGCATCTGTGGGGAAGTATCACAGACCAAGAAAGATCTTGCAGGGCTCTGGAAGTGGATGGCACACAAAAAAATCACACAGGCTGGAAACTGGATTGGCTTCTGATATGTTCCATCAGGAGAGGTAAGCTGAAACGCAGTCTCCAAGAGAGCTCAGATTTCTAAATCAACCTGATTTTCCAGTGAGGATGACTTGCTTTCTCTGTACTACCAAGGACCCTTTTCTACTACCATTGTTTAGGACAGTTTAAGCTCAAATCTCTCAGTATGACCTTCAGCTATCTGAGATAACAGCTCTTGTAACTTCAGTGGGTAAATTTAGCACAGATTTATCTGAAAGCAGCTCCCTTACAAAGTACCCATGTATTACAAAGAAGGAATGTTTCTAACCCTAAAAAGAATAAGCCCAAACTGCTGTCTCTCCTTATTCCAGTGCAACAAACCTTCATGAAAACACTGAATTCACCACACGCGTTAGGCCATCTGCTCTATTTATTATACCACAAAGATGTGGTCCAAAAATGATAAAATCCCTAAGAGACCGAAAGAACGCAAGGAAAAAATTAATCTAGTTTATCTCTGATATTCCATCTCTGCAATTTTTCCACAACACGCCATTTCAGCAGGCCTTTACAGATTAACCCCTTAGGTATCAGACTCCCATCCATTTATAACATCTATGGAAAACAAATTCTATTTTTCACAACAAGCAATGGTGGATAAGCTACAGAGCAATGGGGGAAAAGGGGACAGGGAAACAACAACTGAGAACTATAAGAAGGGGAGGCAGTCTAGTCTAGTGTATGAGGTGCCTGTGGGAGAAATAGAAGATTATGCTCCTGGCTGCACCATGATGACCCTGGGAAAGTGGCCTCATCTCCCTGTTTCCCCTCCCAGCCGTTATTTGTCTTGTCTATTTGGACTGCAAACTCTTCAGGGCCAAAAGTCCCACACTAAACAGCTCAGCTGTGCCAATATGGAGTCACCTGCCTTGCAGTCACCAGGCAAATAACCACATGTACGTGAAATGAAATAACATCTGAAACTGTGCCATACACAGTGGCATTTCACTACAAGGAATACACAGTAACAAGGGTAGCAGGAAGAGGTTGAGAGGGGCAAAGACTGCTTTGAGATTTTTTTTGAATGTTTGCAGTACATAGCCTCATACACAAGGCCGCATACACTCTTAACTGTTTGTTGCAGGACTGGGGGTGGTAACGGGGTGTTGCTTTTTTACACATCAAGGTTTTCCAACCCTTTAACTTATGAGGTGGTCACTTGGACCACCTTCACTTTCTGCTGTACTTTAGAGCTACTTAACCACTGCTTGAGAAGTATATTAACCTACTCTTTATGCCTAAAAGTTTTCCAATAGAGTTTAAGGAATTTATTCTCCCAATTCCCAAAGTAATGCAATGAGCATTAAGCACACACCTCACAGTGCTTCTTTAAATATTTTTTTGTTAGAGTCAGACCTTTAGTACATTCTCTTACAGTTCAATAATCCACCCTTCTTTACATTCTTTCCTTTTTAGGAAGGTTACCACTAAGGCCTGAATTCTCCGTTCTCCAGAATGGAAAATGATGAGTCTGAAGCCAAATTACATGCGACTTTCATTTAAAAGCTTTTCAGGCTTTTTAGTAGCTTTCCAAAATCCAGTTCAGAGATCCCAAAGTCCTACTTACCAGCAGGGATCAGGCCCTGTCTCTTCTAGTTGATGCTGATAATCTTTTGATTTGAAGAACGACCCTGAGCAGAGGCTTGTTTGTCAGAGTTCAGGAAGGCATATATCTTGCACAGTTTTCTTCTTGTTAATAAATCAATACATTTCTAGACAACACAAAATTCAGACAAAGGTCTTCCATGCCATTAACTGGGTATTTCACAACTTTCCTATGTTATCCTCTGATTTTACTAGAGCTTGACAGTAAGCAGGGAAATTTGAACAGAGTAACTCATTGATTCTCCAGTTCCTACAGAATCTAAACTTTCATTATGTCTGGCTTCCCCTTAAAACTGTTCTGTATGTTATAAACAAAAATAAATGTGAATACAGTTCTATTTCTGTAATCATTTAATATTTAAATGTCTGTTACGCAGGCATAAATAGGTATAAAACAGAACAGTAAAGGAGAAAAGAAGAGGTTGACTTGGGTCTGGATATGTAATTAATAGTGTTTATACTTAAATCTATTGGTGACAAACTGTAGTGTTATCCACCTAACCTGCTGTTGTCTACTCTACTGCTCATCATTCTAGCACAAGTTTTTGGGGGATTGTTCCTCTCTTCTCAAGAGGGAGATCTGGTCCTAGCGTTTCCTTCTTCTCATTACTTCTCAATGCAAAGGGCCATGCTAGGCCTCTGCATCCCCTCCATCTGCTTACACAAATTAACAAAAGCCCTTCCAAAACCCCAGGGCTTACCGGGTCCTTTCCCCACATGGTCTCTATCTCCGGCAGCAGGAGAGGTTCAAGCTTTCACTACCGCGGGCTCCTAGAATCACCAGTCAGTCAATGCTGAGTCTTCTAGTACGTACTTTGGCAATAATGGCTGCTAATCTATTTTGGGACTCTAACAGCACTTTCTTCTCTCTGACCAACACAACTTTTCTGTTGTTCACCATTCTCTTCACAGCAATCCATTTTTCTCTTCCATCCTCTTTGCTCTCTCTCCCATTCTTCCATTCTGCTCTTTTCTTTCCACCTTCTCTTTTGCCTTCACAAACTCATGCTGAACTTTTTCAATCACAAGGAGACTACTCAAAACAAATAGGAGCTTGTGAATTACTAACAGTGTAGACTATAAATGGCATATTTTTTAATTATAGCCAAACCACCAAGATGCATGCAGTATTGCACAGTAGCACTATTGCTACTCTGATCTTACTGTCATTGGCCGAAATTGTTCCCTCAGCTATCATTTGTCATGACTACTTGATGGAATGGAAACAGTAAAGAGGAGGGACACAGCTTGCACGTGACTGAAAAAGCCTCATGTGTTATTCTAGGACATTGCTATATACTTAATTCCCATTGCTGATCTAACTCCAGAGGCCTGTCTATACAATCCAAACGGTGACACCTAACAGAAACTGATAACCTCAGTGGTGCCTGAACAGAAAGCTTGTGCAAGTCATCCCAACAAACTGAATGGGAATCCACAGAGTTTCTGTACAGAAACTGTGACTTAAATCTAATGGTGATCTATAGATTCACAAGTAGGATTCAAAAATCAAAATGAATGGCCTTCCAGTGGTGAAAGCCTTAGCGCAGAAAGGCATAGCAATGGAAATCAAGCACAGTAAGCACACTGCTGGGAGTCTTGCAAGTAGCTAGAAGATAGGAAATGCGTAAAGGAAACACTCAGGCTCATCTACCAACTCTGGATAACATTACAAATGCACGCAAAGAAAAACTAGCACTATTCTATGCAATTTCTATCAAAGCAGCACAGTCCCCTATTTGCAATGCACCCGGACTTCAGATGGCTTGTCTAGTTTGTTCTAATAACTAAGTGAATAAGTCAAAAAGAACTCAGCAAGGCTGATTAAGAGAAATACATATAACACATCAATAAAAAAAATTCAAAGATGGAAACATAAATGCAATGTGTGTACCTAGATTCACTACATCAGTATGCAAGAACGTTAAGTAAGCAGATCCTGGTGCTTCAACAGTCTAGGGAAAAGCCATGTAACCTGAATCTCAGGAAATACTTTCAAGGCAGGCAGACAACAAAAAAGTCCTCTTTCATTTATGAAAGCTTACTGCAGTCTGTAATGTCTTGATGGAGAAAGATGGCAATGAGTTTATTAGCTTCCCAGCTGAACAGTACTGTGCAGACTTGGCAGCTGCGTCCACAAAGGACGATAATGGAAAACACATAAATCAGCCTTGAGTCATCGCACAGTCTTACAGGCCCTTGTAACATGTGACCGTGTGGGGTATGCAGTCTGGTGCCACCCTTGACTCCAGAACTATGCCTCTCCAAAAGGCACAAAAATTATCTGAAAAATAGTCCAGCTTGGTTCGCTTAGAAGGAAAATAAACATGACAAAGGCTCAGAGGAAGAGAAGTGTGGATTCTTTATCTCTTCAAGTTTTGAGTGTTTTTTAAAAAGGATGTGTTTACTGGCCAGAATGGTTCAGTCGGTAGCCTGCAGACAGCACTCAGCTTTCATCCTCTTCTGCTCTGCCTTCAGACATGTGGCAACATCCATTACAGTGAGGCATACAGGGAGAAGGGCTTGGTAATGTCTCCAGAGCAGTCTATGAAGCCAGTTTCTAATAGGCCTGCAAAAAGCCTGGGAATTTATATATCACAATTTGCCACTGTGTCCTTAAGATACAGAACGTGGATTGGCAAGTTCAGAGATTGGCATTTGGACTCCAGTGTTGTAAGGGCTGAGCAACAATATAACTCCTAAAATTCCTCACTGTTTGAAGATGCATTAGATTAAATTATATTCCTGTGTTACATAAAGACCAGACTAAAAGATCTAATTATCTCTTCTGGCCCCCAAATCTACTATATTAAGTGTGCAGAAAGCACACTGAGGAAGAAAGACCATCTATTGAAGCGTTACTTACAGAAATAATAGATTGCCAAATACTTTGTTTCTTTTAAGAAAGCTATCAAGAAATCCAGTAACACGGTACAAAACTGTGCAACTTGTCTGTTCTCTTGTCCTGGAGGATATAGCAGCCCCTCAAGGTAAGCAAACAGAACAGAGCCTTATTCTACCTGCATGTGAGGCTCAGGCCTGCAGGAGAAATCTTATGAAATGAGTCACCTCAGCTATGAGATGGCCTGGTGCAAACATTCACAACTTATGAGTAACTCCAAAGCAGCGTTTCACAATGTTAACTGGCTACTAATATTCCTCGTTAGAGGGAGTTGTTGACGGGTTAGCTGAAGATAGCTGTTTAGGACTTTTCTATCTGCAGCCAAAAGAGAACTGATAGAGCAGGAATAGGAAAGTACAATGACAATTCAGTGCTAAGATGTGCTAAGAGAATATTATATAAACCAGATTTAATAAACGTGAAGTGAGTCATGGCAGTACTTGGACCTCCATACAGATACTCAAACCTCCTTCCTGCTCCTTGCATTGACATTGCCCCACCCCACGATTTCAATAATGCTTCACTGGCCTTGCTTACGTAAGGGCAATTTATGGATATCGCTACTGCAGAATAGCTAATCCTTACAGCTATTTCAGTGTAATTACCCTGTGAGGCCACTGCTTTGGAATAAAATCATAGTTATTCTATAATATCTGCAGTCAATTATCTTGCTATCTGCTTTTTGGAAGTACAATGAGAGACCAAGGAAGGAGTCATCTAGTCTCAGAACAAGGGCAGAATTCAGATATACATAAGGAGGAAAAAAGAGGAAAAGTAAGGGAACAGAAAGGAGAATATATAGATGTTGATTCAAAATCATGCAGTGAATGAGGTAGCCTTAGGGTCTCTTTCTCCCTGAGCAGTTTATGGACAACCCCAATAACTTCAATAGAAAATTCAAAACTTTACCATAAGCCAGATCTTGCTGGATTTAGACACTAAACTATACAGTAATATGAAAAAACATCAGAAGAGTAAGATGCTCTCCTGAGAGTTTTCCAGTCCCTGGTTGGGAAAAACAAAATCAAGTGCACATGCCACTATCATGCATCCATTCCACAACAGTCATAGGAGCTTAAACACATTTTTTGTGTTTGCAGTCCCATGATTAACAGACATCAAGGATGTCACAACCTGGCTAACCGATAATGAAGACAGTATCTGTCTAACTCACTGAGGCAGGAATGTTAACTGCTGCTTGCTGGATACTTAAGCAACAAAAGATCATTCCTTATCCTGCCTGAGAACTATGCAGTTTATCAGCACGACCTCATTACATCCCTGGGACAGCAGCTATGAAAAGCCTCCTGACTGCAATATTGAGGGAGTCACTACGATTCTCATCTATACTGTGAACACTCATGTTTTGGGGGATCTAGATACAATAAATTTAGTTCCTTAATACAATTAAAACATGACTCATCTGTTGGCATAGACAGGACTGAGAGATGTTGCTAAAGCAGGCTATGACTGCAGGCACCACCGCGATGGCCCCGCAGTCCAATCTTGCTACGGCGTTGCCATGTACCGTTGTCCCCTCAAACGCAGCTACAGCGTGGTTTTTCCTTGGAGCACAAGCAGGAACAGGCTATATTTTAAGCAAGTCCAGGAGGGTTTTTTTTTTTTTCACAAAAG